TGAGGGCTCGCCAAGTTGCCCAGGCGGGTCTCGAACCCGCGGGCTCAAGCAATCCATTCACCTCAGCCTCCCAAAGGCGCGGGATTACAGGCTGAGCCACCGAGCCCGGCTGCCTCATTCTTCTTTATGCCTGTTCGCCTCTCCCAGTCCAATGCTTGCTTTCTTTCCCACTTTCTGCCTCTTTTATGTCTTTCTGAACCTCAGAGTTTATTTTCTTGCTCTTTACTGTCTTCTTTTAAGGGATGTATACATTTTTTTTACTCTTTATAAAATTTTAAAAATGAATGTAAGCAATTAATGTTTTCTTTAATTTCTTTAATTTTCTTTATGCCTTTTGAAACATACATATCCTTTTCATCAAGAGTCAGTAGCCGTCATAGCATTTGCTGGACAGAGCAGAAGATAACAGGTCATAGCCTGAAAGTGACTGCTTGTCAGTTGTGACCTTATGATACGAATATTTCAGAATAAGTAACAAGGAGCATGGCTGTGGAGAATGATGGATGGAATAATTTTTTCCATCCCTAGAAAGGATTTAGCATATCTTTATTTTCTTGATCCTAAATGAAAAACTCTCATCAGTAAAATGCCCTGCTGCCTCTTCAGTAACTGGGTGGATGTTCAGCAGGCCAGCTGAAGATGACTCCTCCAGTGACGAGGGGTCACAGGAGCTTGAAGAATCGATCAGAGTGGATCCCCTCCCCACGGAGCCCCTGAGCCACAGCAGTAGCACAACTTCTTATAGGAAATCTCTTCGACTCTCCTCAGACCAGATCGTGAGTCTTGTGTGATCCCTGTGGGTTCAGTAGGACTTATTTTAGTAACTGCCTGATTTAATGCCCTTTCTCTAGTCCCCAGCCACAAACGTGCAGCACAGTGTGTTCATGTAAATGCTCATCCACATGGGAACTGAGACCCCTTGTCCCCAGGGAGCCATCAGGCCCCCATAGGGAACCTGTGACCCAAGTCCCTCCACCCACCACAGACCTACTTCCTCCTTCCTGAGAGTGAGCCAAGGAATCTGTATTTTTAACTTGTTACCCTGCTGAAATCTTAAACAGCTAATCCCATACTAGGCTGTGAACTATCTCTCAGGCACCATAGCAATGGAGAAATTATATTTTAAACACAATTTCCTCTTTCTTATTTATTTCTTACCCACTGACTTGGACCCATTTTCAATATGAAAAGGTGTTTCTGGGACCAGCAGGAGGCTGTGGCCAAGGCAGTGTGATTCTCAAGTGTGGAGAAAGAGCAGAGACATTTTGTTCTGTGGGATTTCAGAGAAGTCCTTGGAATCCAAAACACTGTCTGAGCAGTGACTTCTTGTGAGCACATGCTCAGCACCCCAGAAATCATCCTGCCTCTTGCTGGGATCCTGAGACACTGGTTATTGATTTGTAAATTTTCAAACTTTGTTTCAACTGATCTTCTTTATTCTTATCCTTTTCAAAAAGGCAAAACTGAATCTCCATGATGGCCCCAATGATGTTGTGTTTAGTATTACAACCCAGTATCAAGGCACCTGCCGCTGTGCAGGGACCATTTACCTATGGAACTGGAATGACAAAATCATTATTTCTGATATCGATGGAACAATAACCAAGTAAGCTCAAGCCCACCGTGGGTGACAGGGAAAACCCTGTGCTCAGGGAGGGGCGGTTAGTGTGCAATGGAGGCACCTCTCCTGGTGTGCCAGCCCTCAACCATAACATTTTATAAACTGTATGCCCTGAGACATGTTGAGTGTAGTCCCCATGGGGTCATTTTATGGATGGAGGAGATGGGTAGAGCCACATAAATGTAACGTCAAAAATTACTCTTAGAAAGATTTCGTTATGGCTCTCAATTCTGATGTGAAAAGACAACAAAGAAGCTGTTGATATTAGAGAGGAGTAAAAGAAGAATGTGTGGTTGGGAATTGTCCCTGGAAACAAACATCTTGCTCTCATGTGACTCCATGTTTAGAAGTACCTAAACATATATTTGTAGGGAGCTGCCTTGCAGTTGATTGAAGCCATGATGGCATTGGTTTTAAAGTGTCCCCCACCCACTGTTGATGGGCAGCTGATATTCAGCCGAATAGGAAAATGCTTTATATGTTTGATTCCTGATCCCTTTTCCCATCTGCACCCTTTTCTTAGGTCTGATGCTTTGGGGCAGATTCTCCCACAGCTGGGTAAAGACTGGACTCATCAGGGAATAGCAAAGCTCTATCATTCCATCAATGAGTAGGTATCCCTTCCCTCTTGTCAACTTGCTCTAGTGAGCTAGGATTTTGCTTTAAGAAAATAGCATATTAAAAAAATAACATAAATTGTCAGTTCATACAAATTGTGTGTTTATGTTCAGCTATTCCTGCTCTTCTTTCTCCTTTCCCTGTGGCCTCACACAAAGAAAAGTGGCAGCCCCCGTTGATGGTTCTGAGCTGTGTATGCCTGGCCTCACATGACGTGTCTTACCTGTATCATCTCAGTGAATCTTCACAATGCTGTGATTTCAGGCACTATCTACAGCTATAAGTACAGCCATAACTTTTTTTTTTAAAGCTACATTATAACAAGACAGCTGATTTTCATTTTTGGTTTATATTTTTAGGTATTTTTACATTGCATTTCTTTGAGTAGGTAGTAAATGCATGCATGAAGGAAACAATTAGCATGTGGGGTGTGGGACGCTCTCTCAAGGAACTCTAGGAGGGAAAGCAGTGACTCTGTGGGAGCCTAATACATACATTAAATTGATGTGAAAAATTACAGTATCTTTAGTATTAGTTGAAAATGCCATAATATGGAAAGTATGAATATGTCAGTTACCTGAATATAATTTTGCTTTTTATGGAATGGGGTTTGTTTCTTGCAGATTGACTATAAATAGGATTCCTTGTATTTTTTTCTTTACGGTAGATCATTTAAAGATGGTCCAAAGTTTTTGTCTGTTCTATAATGCGGCTTTTGTGGACTAGATTCTGAACATATTATCTCAATACTTACAAGCTTATCATTATTCCTAGTTGCATATGCCTCCATTTTTATCCCCATGGTCTTTTTCCTTGGAAAGGTGAAATCTTTATAACCTAAGTAGTCTCCTGCTAAATTCGAGAATTTGATTTTCACAGTAAATGAGAGGAAAAATATTTGAATCTTGTTAAAAGTACTTTTTATTTCTCTTTAGCCAAAAGACGTGAGCTAACAGGATGTGTATTCTTTCAGGAATGGCTACAAGTTTCTGTACTGTTCGGCCCGGGCCATCGGCATGGCTGACATGACCCGTGGCTACCTACACTGGGTCAATGACAAGGGCACGATCTTGCCCCGGGGTCCTCTGATGCTATCTCCCAGCAGCTTGTTCTCTGCCTTCCACAGGTACTTCTCCAGTGGGCAGCCTTGGCTGCCTCTGTGTGTAGGGCCGGGTGGGACTGGGACAAATGCAGTGTGTGAGGCCAGACTCCAGGGACTGCAGTTCTCTTGGTTCTCTGGGCTCTGTAGTGTCCTGACACACACTGCTCACCTTATCTGTGTCAGGCATGGTGAAGAAAGTCAAGTTCTAGGAATTTTCAGGTTTTCTCCTTTCCTAACCCTGTCACTCAAATTTTCTTAGTCATCAGACTGGTAAAGAAGGAGAAAGAAAGTTACCAGTTACACAGGATTAAAAAAAAAAATTGCGTGGTTATGAGCACTAAAATTCTTCCAGAACCACACACTAGGGAAAATTACCATTTTGAGTTTGGCGACTGTATTTGTATTTTTTTCTTAGGGAAGTGATAGAAAAGAAACCAGAGAAGTTCAAAATTGAGTGTCTAAATGATATCAAGAATCTGTTTGCCCCGTCCAAGCAGCCCTTCTACGCTGCCTTTGGGAACCGTCCAAATGTGAGTGTCTCCTGTGCTCTGAATTCTGGTGTGGGTACTTTTTGGGGTGTAGCCATGTCACAATGCTCAAGCCAGTTTTGTAAGCAAAGTGAAATGTCTGTTCTTCTCAGTGAGTTTTCATTTGATCTGTCCCAAATTTCTGTAGCAATGGGGAGGTCCTATAGGTGCAGATCTGCCTGATAATTTGTAGGAAAGATGCTTTCTCTTTGTATCTGTGGCATCAGCTCCACTTCCTCAGGTGGCTGATTCATCTTCTAAGTGATATAAGCCATGCATCTGCACCAGAGCCAGGGCCTAAGTGATGACCTTTTATTAGCAATTTGCGATCTGATCTGCCTCCTCAGAGCCATCAGGCCTCGGGCATGTGGAACACATTGCTTCTCTTCATCACTTCCTGGCCTCTTTGCTTCTTGGCTGCCCAAGTTCGCTGATCATCCAAGCACCCTCTGGGTTTGGTACCACTCTCTAAGTTTGTCTAAAGCTCAATTTGAGTAGCAAACTGTACTGTGCCCAGCACCACGTGTTTTCTGGAGCCTCCTGTTCATGCAGTGCTTCTGCCTCATAAGGAACCTGAGAAGCATCTCCTGATGTCATTTCCCTGGAATCCCCCTGCTTGATGTTGTCTTCTGCAGGATGTCTATGCTTACACACAAGTCGGAGTTCCAGACTGTAGAATATTCACCGTGAACCCCAAGGGCGAATTAATACAAGAAAGGACCAAAGGAAACAAGTCATCGTAAGTGCATTCCCGGTTCTTGACCCAGCAGCCAGGGGTGCACTTGGGGACAGACAGATATGAGCTGAGATCAGGTCCAGCTTGAAGGAGCAGAACTACACCTCATCTGTGGGTGTTTTTTTCTTCCTAAGTAGCTGTTTAAAGAGTCCCTGCCAGATGCGGTGGCTCATGCCTATAATCCTAGCACTTTGGGAGGCAGAAGTGAGAGAATTGTCTGAGCCCAGGGGTTCCAGACCAGTCTGGGCAACTTAGCGAGACCTTCTCCCTACAGTAAATCAAAAAAATTAACCAGGTATGCTGGTGTACACCTGTAGTTCCAGCTACTTGGAAAGCTGAGGCCTGAGTCCAGCAGGTCAAGGCTGCGTGACATTGCACTCCAGCCTGGGCAACACAGTGAGACTCTGATTCAAAAATAAATAAATAAAAAATAATAAAGGGTTTCTGATAATTTAAGACTTGTGTGAGGAAGTCTGAGCTTTAGGACAAGAGTGAGACCTGCCTATTTTTACAATCACCATTTTAAGTCTCTGACCAATTTTGAAGTAACAGTCTATCTTTCCCAATCTCCTAGGTATCACAGGCTGAGCGAGCTTGTGGAACACGTGTTCCCACTTCTCAATAAGGAGCAGAATTCTGCCTTTCCCTGCCCGGAGTTCAGCTCCTTCTGCTACTGGCGAGACCCGATCCCTGAAGTGGACCTGGACTACCTGGCCTAAGGTGGTACCTTGGCGGGCAGGCAATGGGGCCCAGTTCCTCTCCCCACAGCAAAGGAAGGTGGATAGCCCTTCTGCTGACCTAGACACCAGCTTTCCCAAGCAGAGACAGGGGCACTTAGAGCTGGCACTGCCATCCTTCTTCGCCTTTCCAGGCCAGCTGCTTGGCCCAGCCACCCTGGATCTCAGCACCTGGAAAGAGAAGGGAAGGGCTTGGCCTGGAGTTGGAGGCCTGGGCTCCCTCCCGTGGGAACCACACACGTGCTTCCTCTTGAGTTGTGTGCTGAGTACTCCTTCCACTGCATGATTTAAAGGAAGAAATGGAAACTAAAAAAGAGTGGACCAAAACATCACACAAAGTAGAGTGTTACAGTTTCCACTGGGCCATTGAGATGGTCTCACTCTATAACCAAGGCTTTCCTCAGAGGGCCTGATCCCCTGAACTGCTCTAGGTCCAGTTAGTGATGTTGGCTGAAACTGCCTGTGCACATTTCTCCTTTGGGCACCTCGTTTCCTGCTTCACTGAATAGGACAGCTACTCCTGTGGGCTGAGTTGGGAGATCCTTAGGGCCCATGCACCAGAGCCATGAGCCCAGCCCCACAGATGTGGGCTTCTGGAGGAGAAAAATCCCCTTAGAGTATCTTCTCATCTGTGACTACTCCACGATGAGAGACCTTTATGCTTCTTAGACCTCACCAGAAAAACAGTTCTTACAGGTGTGTATTTGATGTCTGTAATAAAAGTACTAATGGTAGCAAGTTTGGTTTAAAAAAAAATTCCAACAACTGTTTTCAGGGAGGCCTCAGATAGACAGTTGTGTGGGGTCCTGGGAAGAGTATTGTATCCCTCTGCCTGTTGCCTAGCTTAGGTAGGCCTTTGGGTGTCTTGCTTTTTGACAGGATTTCTAAAATATGCTGTGGTGCAGATTTGCCAGGGAAGTATAATGAAGCTTGCCTAAAGGCCACTAGCCGGTGGCATTTGGCTTTGTCTTTGGAATCCACTATAACAAAACCTGTGGAACCCAAGTAAGAGAGGGGTCTTGGTACGCCTGTTGAGCAGACTATTCCTTAACAGTGTCCCCCAGCCCACGTTCGACCCTGCGTCAGTCAGGAGACTCATATGGTCAGCAGTGCAGACCTATGAGACTCTGTGAGGGCACAGGGGTGCCCATGTGTTTTCAATAAAATGTACACGGCAGCTCCATTTAGTGGCCTGGTTGTTATGAGCTCAAGTCAAGGGTCTGAACACAGCAGCAAGGAAGGAGTATATGCTGTAAGCCCCTCCAGAACTTGTGGTCTGCTGGCTGTTGACAGTCACTGAGATATTAACAGCAAGAGAAACTGTCAGAAAGGAGCCTAAGAAATGACCCCAGGTCGTAGTCCCCATTCGTGAGAACACGGGAAGCAGAGGTTCCTGAGCAGAGGGAGCAGCAGGTACAGACCCTCGCTCTTGGGATGGTTCAGTCCAACTCTCCATGCCCCTGCTGTGGAAGTGGGGACCTTGCTTATTTTAGTTCGTTTCGCCTAAGGTGATACTGATCTAGAGGTGGAGATACAGGATGGCTATCTTTCCAGATTGGAGAGGTGAAAGTCCCTGACTGCTTTCAGCCATTTTTCCCAGTGCTATTGGATGCAGAGACAATGTTAAAATCTGGGAAGCACGTCTTCCCAGAGAAGGGACAACACGAGCTTTCTTTGGTGCAGACTTTCCCCCCTTAAACTGTTCACAAGGATGAACAGTTTAATGAGTTTATTCATATACCATAGGTTAGGGATCCTGGGTTCTGTTCATATGAAGTTCTGCCCAGCTAGTGAGTCAAAGTTCTAGCAGAGCAACCATACACCCACTTTGTTTCATAGATGCCATTAGTGCATCCCCTCGATTGTCTTCTATTTAGAGGAAGAGTGAAAGCTTCATGTGCTTAACCTGAGCTTATAGTAGGACTTCTTTACATACGTGTGGTTCTGAAAATCTTAATATGCATTTTCTTTCGTCCGTTTTAGGTTGTCCTGTAAAATTTTTTTGGCTAGGTAGTTTGTTTCTTTTTCTTAACAGCTATCTGTGGACACATGGGCCTTCTTAAAGAGTCCATCCTAGGACCCAGATCTCCCAGCCCTGTGTTGAAGGTGGCTGGTCCCTTTGTCCTGGTGTCCATTAGCACTAGACTTTGTTGCTACAGATTGATCCAGTGGGTACATGGGCTAATTAACATGAGTCTTTCCTTGTTTAAAGGAGTCCTTCTTGCTGAAAGTAGATGGTTACTATTGCTGTCGTGTTATGAAAGTATTAAGTTTGTGCTGAAAATCCGTTGCCATTTGGTACAAATGACATTTGTTCTTTCTATGAAAGAGAGATGCTCTCAAGTGTGTTTGTACACAAACCCTTAGGATGGTGAGTCAAAGTATCACCCCCATGCTGTCTTCAGTGACGGGTGATGTCGCAGAGAGATTGCAGGCAGATTGGGCTCCATGTTGTTCCATCAGTTGCCCATTGGTGAAGTGGCCCCTTCCCTCTGCAATGCAGTCTCACTCTAGGATTTGCTTTGCTGTCCACGTATCGAAGCTTGTCCTGTCAAGTTGCCACCTGCCGATCTGCGACTGTGTGAGGCGCTTGCGTGGGCCTGGAGCATGCAGGCAGCTTCCGCGTTTGAGTACTGTGTTTTGCTATGTTTAAAAACATCTGCATAGTTTTCGCCTGGACAAAGAAATTTACAAGTGTGATGTCCTAAAACGAAAGCTGCTAAAAACTTTGGGGAGAACAACTGAGAAAGCTGACTAGCAGCCCGGGCCATGCTGTGCCCTTGAGCTGCCCTTGGCCTGTCGCCGCATGGCCTTCCCATGGCTTGCTCTTGAGATGCAGGCAGGACCTTTGACAGAAGAAACAGTTGGAAGTCAGCCCTTCCACCTTACATGAGGTGATGAAAACAGACTTCAGGGAGTTTCATCTTTTTAAGTGTCATCCTGGGCTTAATAAAACTGGTTAAAAATTGAGTTTTTCCTTAAAGTAAGTGCTCTTTCCAGGTGAAAACTACTTTTTGGTTTGGTTTGGTTTGAAAGTAAGAAAGGGAAGGGAAACTTTACTCTTTTAATTTAATAATTATGTTCAGCCTATGATGAATTATTTGATTATTAGACAACAATGTCACTAATAAGTTTTAATTTGTCCAAAATTAATTGTAAACATCAGTACAGTACTCTTATGGTAAAGACAATTGTCTTAAGATGAATGGCTCATATTTTGGTGCAGTGTTTGATGTTAAAACAAAATGTTACAACAATAAACAAACATAAACTGAATGCATTTGGCTCTTTGCTTCAGAGGACATTTAAACCATCTTCTCTATACTCTTGCCAGAAACTGATAATTTCCATCAATTAGCATTTTCATCTTTGCTGACACTTAAATTTGTCTACAGGAGGGATTTCTTTTTGGTGCTTATTTTTAAAACCTGACTCCAGAAGTAAGGCTACACCCACAGGAACTAACCTCTTGCTTTGTACACCCTGCCAGGAAATGATTCATTCATCCATATGTAATTTCTGCTATAGTCTGGCAGTATCCATGAGGCTGGTTTTACCTCTTACCCCCTCAGCCCTTTGGGGTCCCTGAGCCCTTGATGCGTGAGTTCATTAAACCCGTCCCTCAGGGAAGATATGACTTAGCATTCCTGAAGTTTTCAGATAGCAGAGTCAAAGTGATCTTTGATCAGAAACTACATCCTACGCATTATTTAAATGAGTATCTTTTCATCCTCTCAGATCGCTGGGCCCTTACCAGATACAGCATATGTTGAACATTGTGAATCAAGGTCCCTCCATGGGAGTGTGGGTTCCAGCAGGGAAAAGTTGTGCATTTCATGCTTCTTTACCATGACATGATGGCTGGGTGATGGGAACCCAGGGGCTTTGGGGTGTACTGTAGGGATGAAAAGCAAGAACTCGGACCGGGAGCTCTTAGATTACCAAGGAAATGGGTCTTACCCAGAGCTGCTTCATAGGAGCAGCTCCCTGCGTTCAACCTGCCTGCATGCAGCCTCCTTCTGTTGTGCCTGTGCCCCTTGGAGCTGGCACGTGGCCTTCCTTTTCCCTTCTTACTCTCAGATGGGTGTAAGAAAAATGCACATATGTGCGTTTAGAAAATGGATGTGTAAAGCCATGTTTTACAGCTACAGGCACAAACTTGAGTTTGTCTCTGAGCACAGATATTCCTTTCTTCCAAGCTATAAACACACATAAGTTGTGAAAAACAACCTGAAAGCTGGGAGTCATTTGGGAAAGCAAGTTTACTGTGCCATTGAAATAATTGCAAATACAATTTGCAGGGTTTGCATTCTTTATTGCAGGTACCATTTTGTCATTTTTAATTACTTAAATTAGGCCATTTGCTAGTGTTACGGGGATAGGAGGAGTGGATGTCCCAGTCCTTCTCTGCTTATGTTAAGAAGTGCCCTCAGCCTGTAGTCCCGCGCTTTGGGAGGCTGAGGTGAGTGGATTGCCTGAGCCCACGGATTCGAGACCCGCCTGGCCAACTTGGCGAGACCTCATCTCTACAAAAAACCAAAAAAATTAGCCGGGCGTGGTAGTGCATGCCTGTAGTTCCAGCTACTTGGAAGGCTGAGGCAGAAGGATCACCGGAGCCCAGCAGGTTGAGGCTGCGGTGGCCAGGAGCGGCCACTGCACTCCAGTCTGGGCGACAGAGTGAGACTCCAACTCAAAAAAAAAAAAAGAAGTGCCCTGACCTTTTTCAGCAACAGCTTCCTGGTTTTGAAAGCTGTCACCTTGTATCTGATGACATCTGTGGGCTGGCTATGCGTCTAGTTGCAGGCACACTACTTTGGGGGTGTCAACTTCCTGAAGGTGCTGATTCAAACCCCACAGCCCTGAGCAACACTGACACTGTTGTCCTCTGCCTGCACAAAAGGATGGACTTCCCCTTCCTAAAGACGTGGGTTCCTAAATGAGCCAGGACCTAGCGTTCATCCTATTTTATCTTGAAGCAGAGGCAGGATGTGGCTATAAGTAGGCTTACTTAACTTTTTTGCCTGTCTTGAGTACACCAAGCTGAAATTCACCTTTGTCAGTACATTAGATGAGAGGCACTGAGAGGACCGAGTTTGACTTGATACTCGAGAGAACCATGTGTGGAGTAGGAATAAAGGAAAGTCATCGGCCCTCTCTGGTCTCTGCCTTTGTGACTGCTGAGCATTTCTCTTTGGCATTGAGTGAGGTCTTTTCAAAAGGAATGAGAGGCAAGAGGGCAAAAGCATGTGTGCGTGCCAACTGGGTTTTCCTGAAAATGCTCCACTGCATCAGGGTTTTTCCATGAGTCATTTCTAGGGCAGCCAGGGATCCTCTGACAGCTCCCTTCAGCCAGTTCCCCAGCTGTAGAAACAAGAGGAGAGAATGCCACTCTCCTTCCCACTCCTAGACAAAGAGGTCCAAATTGTAATAGTAAAACAGCAGACTTTCCCCCTGGCTGGGGGAGGGAGGTTCAATAAGAGCTCTGAGGTGTCCAGGGCCCACCCTGTAATTTTGTTTGTAAACAGTCCTTGAAACTCAAAGCATTTTTGCTACGTAAGAGTCCCTTCTGAGGCACTTGCCCATTTCCCAGTGATGCTTGACTGACTAGCAGGTTTTACCAACTTGATCAGCAAAGAATGCCTTGAGCTAAGAGTGTCTAGAGGTTTCTGAGGCTGCTGGTGACAGATCAACATGCCTGGGCTTCTCCTCAGGACAGAGCGTGCTCGCTGTGGGAAGACCACTGCTTTCTCAGATGACCTCAGCTTTCAGCCTGCGATCAGCTCTGTGTTGGGCCTCTTGTTGCTTAGGAACCTGAGAGGTCGTCAAGCTGTCTCTGCTAGAGAGCTGTGCAGTGAAGCCATGAGGATTTAGTCTCATTAGCCAGGGCAGCTGCTGACGAGATGTGAGTTTCCAGCCTCCCCTGGAAGCGCCTCTCTCCAGCTGTGGGATCACATAGGGGCCCTGACCTCCACACACATCTGGTCTGTCTTTACGAGCCAAAACCAAAACCCAAGTGTACAGTTTGGATGCTGAGAGGTAATAGTTTTAGAGTTGAGATTAATTTATTCAGGATTACTTTCTACAGTCCATTAAGGGGGGGAAAAACTTTCTACAGTTTTGTTTAGCAACAACTCCTAATCCATAAGGCACCAGGCTTAAGAACGGTAACTTGAAGTGATTTTACATCTTTATTGACACTCCCTGTCTTTGCACTTAAATTGTACATGTCATTTAAGGAGCCCAATAAGCTTCATGAACAGTCTCTAACCCATCCCCATTTGCAGCTGGGCCAAGGCCAAGTGAGCAAGGGGTGTGAGTCCCAGGCAGCAGTGGTGAACCAAGCGTGGCCCAGCCCACAAACTCGGGGTCTCTGTGTGGTAGCATAGGCCACCTCAGCACTTCAGTGTTTGAACTTCTCCTGCAGTGTAAAGACAGACAGTGTGGCTCTCCAGGAAAGACCAGTCATGGTGACCCGCCCTTGCCAGCCTGCCTCCTCCCTGCCCACAGCTCCTCCTCTGTCAGCAGGACACCGGCCCATGACCTCGCCCTGCAGGGGAGCAGTGGGAAACTTGGCTGTGAGCGTGGGCCCAGCCCAGGAACCCTCAGAGGGAATCCATAGGTGGAAGCTGGGAAAACACAAAGGGAGGACACAGCTCTCAGGCAGGGGGCTCTTTCCAGGTCTTCCAGTTGTCCAGTCTGGGTAACAGAAACATCGAAGGCCACATTCACCGTGTTTCACTCCTCACTGCCTGCCTGGGCGCAGTAGAGCACAGCAGTCTCAGCAGCTAGGGAAGGCCTTCACGCAGGGGCAGGTGATGGGACGGATGCAGGAAACCAGCCCAGTGCCCCCGTGACATACGAAACCAAATATATTAAAGCTCAAGAGTTTTTACAGCTATCTTTTTCCAGCCTCTCCCTGGTCACCCTAGAGGTGAGAAAGGAAAGGATATAAGAAGACCCCACTGAACGTAGAGTACATCTCGTCAAAGTCTGTGTGAGCCAGCCTGCCCCCGGTCACCACGACGTTGACGCCGTCTCCCGCCTTCAAGTGCACAATGAGGTGGAACGCCCCTGGGCCCCCACAGGTGTGCAGAGCCCCTGGGGGGCGGTGGTATTCCAGGAATTCTCTCCTGTACCCAGCTGTGTGCAGCTGGGCCACGCTGGCATTGGAAACCGACAGCACCGCTTCCACGTAGGCGTCTCTCTCGGGGGTAAGGGTGGCTGTGATCAGGTAGCGTCCATCATATGGCGCCGTGAAGACCCCTGGGAGGAGAAAGGCAGACCCTGTGTTCGTCTGACACCATCACAGCTCTTGGGAGCAGTAAATTAACCTGGACACGGGACTCTTGCAACGGCAGTAAGTTAACCTGGATGTATCTGTTTGCAGGTCTGCCACAGCTTTTTAGCGTTGAAGTCCTGGGCAGATGAGGCCAGCTGGTGCCCACATTAAAAGGCAGAAAGACCCTCTATGCTGCTTCACCCTACAGCCACTGTGGGTGTATGCTGAGGTCACCTTAGTTTGTACCACTTCTGGCCACTGACCCAAGAATGCCTCTTGGGCCACACATCTCCCTCATTGAAAGGACCTGAAGGCCAACTTACAACCAGCCTCAAGGGTTGGCTTCTGGACCAGTACCCATGAGGCAGGACCAAAGAAAGAAGCTTGCCACCAACTCGGGGAGAGGCAGGTGCTGAACCAGGTAACCTTGGAGGCCATGCCAGGCTGCCTCACTGGACAAGTAAGTAGACAGGTAGTATCCACTCATGGCCAGAAGTGAGTGCTGACATCACATAGCCTATGACCCACATGTTTTGGGCCTGGAGAGGCAAGGGAAGTGGTGGCCGGAGGTGAGGAAGCAACAGAGCAGCTGAGGTAGCCCAATAGCTAGAAGAATCAGAGCCTACACCAAATGCTGGCAGGAACAACCACTTCCCGGAGCTCTGGCACCAGACCTTGCCACCGACTTTAAGCCCAGCGCTGACAAATCAGGGCCAGGGACTAACAAGGAATGGGCCTCAGGGGCCTGGGCCTTCAGTCTGCCCTGAAAAACAGAAAAGGCCCGTCCACCCATCCTCCTTCCTAGCTTGGAACAGCAAGCAGTCTAGAGCTTCTGGAGTCTTCTCAAGGCACCTGGCCAGAGGACAGAGCCTACTCAGGCACCTGGGTAGCTTTCACCTTTGCTCAGAGTCAGCCTGCGATGAGGCCTTGCTTGAGTTCACCCAGAACTTCTGAGTACCTGCTCCAGGTGGGACTACACGTAGCTCAGGGAATGTGAGAATGTAGCTCCGACCTGTCAAGGGGCCAGCCATCCCTGCAGCCAAGGCAGCATGGAGTCAGGGGGGAAGGGTGGCCTGACTCCAGAGGCCCTGGAAATTCTGAGCAGTCTCAGGAAGAAACTGCACTTTAGTTGAAAGGAGGCGATGTTCCTTCTGCCCTGTCCTGTCTAGGATGCTGAACTTCACTCCAGTGGACCTGGGGTACCAGGAGTGCCGCTTTCCAAGCTCTGCAGGTGACTCTTAGCCTCGCTAATGTTTAAGAGCAGGCTGGACTTGATGGCTCATGCCTATAATCCCAGCACTTTGGGAGGCCATGGCGGGAGGATTGCTTGAGCCCCAGAAGTGCAAGACCAGCCTGGGCAACATAGACCTTGTCTCTACAAAAAAAAGGCCACTGCCCTAAAAACAGACAATGACCAGGCATAAACGAGGACGATGGCTAAAAACTACAGGCAAGAAAATCAGGTCCCCCTCCTATCCAGTGGCTTATGGCAGCAAAACCTCCCTGGGCACCACCAGCCTGTGGGGAAGACCTGTTCACTGAGTGAGCAGCACAGTGACTGCTGAGGGTACAGAGACAGTTGGGAAAGGCTCCAGGCCATGGAGACCTCCCCACACCTGTCCTGATGGGCTTGGACACCTGGAACCCTGTGTCTCTCAGGGCTGCCCATGGTCCAGGTGGGGAAGCGGGAAGGTGGGAATAAAGTCCATACCCACTGTCTTCTCGAGCCTCCCAGAATCAACCTGAGGCTGGGGTAAGGGGATGATGACACAGGTTGCCGCGCACAGACTCAGAAGTTCACCTGAAGCAATTCCGTTCCAGAGCACGAGCCTCTCTGGGGAGACTGCAGCCCCATTTCTGACATGAGAGCCCCAAAGGAAGCCTCCCACTGGCCGGACTGTCCTGGGTGTCAGGATGACTGTCAGACACCAAGAGGGGTCGCTGGTGGCTATGGGAGGAGGCTGGGTGTGGTGGGCTGCACTTTGTTAACAAAGTCATAAAAATGAACAGCGACTCCAATAGCGAGTGCTGACTAGGGTGTTCTCACGGCTAGAGAATGTTGCACGCCCATGCAGCCTTGCAGCTGGAAATCCACAGAGCTGGACACAGCCACATACCCACTCAGGGCATCTGCTCTACGGTAGGCCCCCCCCCCCCCGACCCCACAGGACACAGGAAACCAGATAGTGATGGGGGCCTACTGCATTTGGGGAGGAGGAGACAGCCCTGCATCCCCTTCAAACACTCACCGGTGCTAGGGTCGTAAACGTCTCCATCATTCACCAGCACTTTGTTGAAGAGGACGACGCCCCCATCACTGGGGAAAGGCTTCTGGGTAAGGCCAGCAGAAAAAGACACCAGAGAAGGCACTGGAACGCCTGGAGCAGAGACAGGACATGAAGTGTTTGACCTCTGGTGGCGGGACTGGTGTCAGGGCCTGGAAGACTGAGGCCTATGTGCCAGGCCTGTTTTATTTCACCTAAGAGTGGTGAAGCAAACCACTTTTCACACCCAAGTGCTAGGGGGTTCCCTTTGCCTGAGATCTGCAGTCAGGACAGCTGAGGAATCAGAAACTGGACAGGCTCTTATTGGGAGGATGTGAGAGAGGGAACCATGTGTGTGCCCGTGTTGGAAGGCTGGGAACAGGCTGAGGGTGCACGACGGGAATACTATGGGAGCTGCTTACTAATCTGGTGAACTGGAGCCCCAGGAAGCTCATTGGGACCACATAGGGCAGAGGCCCACCCAGTGATCCCCTCAGGAACCTCAGTGAGCTGGAATGATGTGGGAGGGAAAACTCTACATCTCAGCCTGACTCTAACCCTCTCTGGGGAGGAAACCTTGAGGGGTTCGGCCCACAGCAGTCAGTGAAGGCCTGTCCCACTGCTGCTAGGCTGAGCTCAGGCTGGACCTGGGCTAATAGCCCACAAGGAGGAGGCAGGAAGGGAAGGGGCAGGGGCTACCAAGGAGAACTCCCCTCCTGGTCTCCCAGGAGACGTACCTGGGGAGGCCACAGGGGGTGACTTGGGGTATCCTGGAAAACAAAATGGGAAAGAATTGTCAGGATCCTCGACAGCACCTTGTTTCCCGGAGCCGTTTTTTCTCCTGCTCCTCACAAGCTAAAACTGAGTCTTCATTATGAAAGAAACAGAACAAGGGCACCCACTCAGTTGCCTTCTTAGAAACAAGCACGTCTGCACCCACCTGTCCCTGCTTCCTCACAAGCCTACTTATTGCTAGCAAGGAAGAGGCCACTGAGGGCAAGCTGGCTGCGAGAACAGAAAAGAAAGAGTGCTGGGGCCTTGAAACCCAGGCCAGGGAGGGAAAGTCTACAGGCTGAGTCAGACTCACGCATGCCAGCTAACAGCTTACTCTCTAGGGCATCTATTCAAGAATTTTGTCTCCAACTAGACTGAATGCTGTATTTGTGAAATGGATGCATGGGAGGGTAGGTGGTTGGATGGATGCATGCATGGAAGGGGAAGGGTGCATGGATTGATGCATGCATGGATGCGTTGGTAGATGAAACGTGTATAGATGGGTGTACGGATGTGTCTGTGTGTGTATGCGTGGATGGTTAGGCAGATGGGTACAAGAGTAGATGAATGGGTGAGTGGGTGGGTGCATTTCTGGATGGGTGAGTAAATGCATACATGTGTAGATTGGTGGATAAACTGTATGCACGCATGTGTAAACAGATGGGTGGTTGTATGCTGGATACATGGATAGATGCATGGAAAGGTGCATGCATGGATGGACAAATGAATGAGCAAATAGCCCAAGGGAGTGTGAGCATCCACAGTACGTGGAACTAATAGAAGGCAAACTGTTATCTTAGAAAAGGCGGCATAACTGCCTAAGAGCTGTGATCCCTACAGCTCAAGAGGCTGAGGAGGAATAGAAAAAGGGAGAGCTGGTGGGAGAAAATGCCTCATCTCAGCAGTGATCCAGCCTTCTAGGTAGCCACAGGGCTTCAGGGATCATGGGTGCACCAGGCTTTCTTTGATGGGGACCAACCCTACCCCTGCCAGTGTCTGGGTGTCCCCGATGGTCAGCCTGGTCTGCCTCGGAGAGAACTGGTTTGCATTGTCCTATAGCATATAACATGACCTGTCCCATGCAGAGTCACCCGTTGACAAGTTACAGTCCCAAATCACAGTTTCCTCACCCGTAAAATAGAACCAACAGTGGTTCCAGAGTGCCACTGGGAGGACTACAGGAGATCGAGACATGGGTCCAGCCCTCACATGTGGTGGGGATCCCACAAGTGCTCACTCCCTTTTCCTCCTATCCCCTGCCTTCACTCTGATCACGACTGCCCTGCGACAGTAATGGTGCTGACATTCACAGATCACTTGGAGCACCTCCCGGCCAAGCACTGAACAGGCTTTCCTCCTCCACCTTCGCGGTAGCCCCCATTCTGTTACTATCCTCACTTTGGGGCCGAAGGAACTGGGTCTCAGAGGTCAGGAAGCTGACCCAGGCCCCAAAGTTGGCGATGGAGCCACCCTTCTGCCTCGCCACCTGCTGTGTCCTGCCTATGCTGCTCCACAGCTCCCAATACACTGGGTTTCCTAGCTGCGTCCTGCTAGGAAGATCAAGGAGCTGACCGGGCATGGGTGTTCCAACCCCCAGTACAAGTCGATTACTAAGTGGAAGGTATTGCACTGTCCCTGGGGTGCCCTAGCCTCCACCTACTTGATTAGCATAAATTGGTCCCTCTGGCCTCTGCATCCTTGAAAAGCTACCTTTCTGAACTTGTCCCCTGTGGGCTGGAGTTTGGACCTGCCAAGACCCTGCAGCAGACCCTGGGGCTCAGGCTGATGTCTGTGGTATCCCCAGTAGGTCCTCCCACGCCACCACACTGGCCTTACCTGGTGCTCCCGCGTAGCCTTCAGCGCTTGGGACAGGACCCTGTCCGGTCTGGCCATCTACTCCCTGGGGCAGGCCCCTCCCCGACATGCCCATCCTCCCCGGAGGCCCAGCTTCACCAGTCTCCATGATGACCCCCGTGGAGCCCGGCAAGGAGGACACTCCTGTCCAGCCAGGCCGCACCAGCGGGGGCAGCTTCTCCTCAGGGGGCCGTGGCTGCACGGGCCTCTGGGGAAGGACAGGCCACTGGCCCGTGTGTGGCCGTTGTTTGACGTCCTCCGGGAGTTGGGGACCACTGGGCCTTGGCAGTGGTGGCAGCGGGGTGGATGCTGGCTGTGTGGGCTCCGTGGTGGCTTCTGGCAGTGAAGGGGCCTTCCCTTGGCCTGGAGGCTGGGGTGCTTCTGAGGGTTCCTCGGCTGAGCATGGGGAAAGCAGAAAGACACAGAATTGGGTAAGAAACCTCAGCCGCCACTGCCCAGTCGTGGGTCCCTTTGTGAGGCCCCTCGAGGCTCGAATTGCTGTCTCTGTGGTATAGCCTGCAAGGCTGGGGCATCGCCCATGTGGCTGGGGCATTCTCCTAGCAGGATGTGCAAAAGCAACTCCAGCCTGCCTGCATCTTCTGGGAAAAATAAAAAATAAAAAAACTATGGGTCTCACTGCCCTCCAGTCATCTGGAGAGCTGCTCAGAAGGCCAGTGGGGAACCCCTGCCTAGGCCAGGGGGATTTTTAGGCCTCCCCTTCCACCCTGATGGTTGCATCATTTTTGGCTCCAACACCCAGCATTCTCTGATTTCATGGCATTGAAAGGGACCTGATGCCATGAACCACCTTATAGTCTCTAAAACATGGCGGTCCTGGCATCAGCCTCACCAACTGGCTGCTGAGGGACACTGCTGTGAGACCCCAGTGGCTGATCAGGGACTGTCAGGAAAGCTCAGCCTGCCCCTGCAGCAGGGCAAGCCTCAAAGGAGCAGGGATGCCCATTCACCGGCCACAGCCTTCACAGTCATCAGCTGAGGGGCTTTCCAATAGAGGAACCTCCTGATTCACATTTCCCCGCTCTCTTGAGATGGTCGTTGTGACATAGCCAGCGCTGCCGCCCTTTCCTCCTATGAATACGTTACTGGAACCAGTCTTCCAGGAAGCCCTCCCTGACTGCCCACAGGACTTCTAAAAATACCCGAGACTGGCTGAGAGCTGAGAAACCACTCACAAAGCGAAACGCCACCCACCTCCTCCATCAGTCTGGTGCCCACAGTGGCCAAGGTTTTAAAGCTATACAATTATGCCTCATCAAAATCAGTGATTGCATTTTAACCTGCTGTCTAGTTTTGTTTTAAAACTCACTAAGGGGGCCGGGCTTGGTGGCTCAGCCTGTAATCCCAGCCCTTTGGGAGGCCGAGGTGAGTGGATTGCCTGAGCCTGCGGGTTCAAGACCTACCCGGGCAACTTGGTGAGACCTTGTCTCTACAATAAATAAAAAATAAGCTGGGCGCGGTAGCACATGCCTGTAGTTCTGGCTACTTGGAAGGCTGCCAGAGCCCAGCAGGTCGAGGCTGCGGTGGCTGGGAGCGCGCCACTGCACTCCAGTCTGAGTGACAGAGTGAGACTCCAACTCAAAAAATAAATAAATAAAATTAAAAATAAAACTCACTAAGGTAAATACAGCAAATCAAACACACACTTCCCCTCCACCTACAGTGCCAGGTTGCCAGAGGTTGACCCCAAGAGAGGTCATTTCTCAAACAACCTTTCCTAATCAGTGTTCCATGAGAAAAGTAAGCTCTATAGAAAATAATGTGAGTGATCACATTCTCAGTTCTCCTGAGCATAGTGCAGAGTTCAGTCCCTTCTAAATACAAAGAGGAGAAATTAATTCATTCCATACAATGGAATAGCATTAGTATTTACTTCCCCCTCTAGAATCCTGGTTGGGAAGGGCTGCACTAGACAGAAACCAAAGCAGAGGGATTGCAGACAAGGAGACATTAGCCACAATGGAAGACAGGAGTGAAACATCAGTCTAAAAACACTTGAGTCAAGCCCAGGTGTGATGGATCACACCTGTAATCCCAGCAGTTTGGGAGGCCAAGGCAAGAGACTGCTTGAGCCCAGGAATTCAAGACCAGTCTGGACAACATAAGACCTCATCTATGCAAAAAATTCAAAAGTTAGCTATAGTAGTACCCGTCTGTCATTTCAGCTACTCAGGAGGCTGAGGTGGAAAGATCACCTAAGTTCAAGAGGCTGAGGCTGCAGTGAGCCATGATTATGCCACTGCACTTCAGTCTAGGTAACACCAACTCAAAGAAAAATAGATATTAAAATTGAAAATAATAAAAACACTAAGTCAAGTTTACACCCTGAATGAGGAGGCTCACAACTCCATCTCCTGCTCAGCCCTCCTGAGACATTTGCTTATACCTCCAGTCAGAGATAAGATTCTTCATACTGATCCTATAGTGAAGCCCATAGTCATGAAACTCTAATATCTCCCCATTAAATATGAACTAAAGTCAAGATCATCTGATATATGAGGGATGCTGCCAATATGAAAAACAGACCAAAACAACCCATCCAACCAACCAATAAAAAAAGAACTCCAAAGAGATAGACATGGTACAAGAAAATAAAGGTGTAATATCCTCAGGAAAATAGAAGACACTGCATCTAAGATGCAAGAGTAGATTGCTATAAAAAAGGATACAGAATAAGGATGAATCCTTGCTGATTAAAATTATGCTTCTCAAAATAAAATTCAGTGAAAGCACTGATAAACAAAACCAAGGAAATCTTTCAGAAGGTAGAAAGATGACAAAATGGTGAACAATAGGAAGGAAACCATAACAAGAAAAGAGATAGAAAAACAGATGTGTGGGGGTAATGGGATAGTCAGGAGAGAATTTTCAAGTTTCCCAAGACTGATGAAAATGAAAGATCCCAGCTCAATTATTGAATAGAAGATATAAAACCAAGACATATTCAGAATACTGAAGATAAAGAGAAGATACCACAAGACTTCAAGGGAAAAAATATAAAACTGTGAATCAGAAAGCCATCATCAGGCTTCTCAGCAATATTATTGGAACCTAGAAGACAAGAGAGCACTGTCTTCAAGTGTTGAGGGAATATAACTTTTATCTTTGAGTTCTATACCCAGCCAAAATATCCAACTATGAGACTAGAATAAAGACATTTTTTAGGCAGGCAAGTTTTTTTAAAAAATTTAAATACTATCAAGCACCCTTTCTTAAAAAGGTTGGAAAATATGCTCAATGAAAGGAGGAAATAAACCATGAAAATGAGACATAAAAAAAAGTTAAAGGCATTTCCACAGTGGTAGAGAAGAAAGGCTCAGCATAAAAGCCTTGCAGCAAGTCTAGAGAATAACCAGCCCTACTTGAATCAGAGCAATAATTCCAGAAGGGAGGTCACCATTTTTTTTTTTTTTGAGTCAGAGTGTCACTCTATCACCCAGACTGGAGTGCAGTGGCACCGTCACAGCCACCACTGCCTTGACCTCTTGAGCTCAGGCAATCCTTCCACCCCAACCTTCCAAGTAGCCAGAACTACAGGTGTGTACCACTACATCTGGCTTTAAAAAAAAATTATTGTATAGACAAAGTCTCACCAAGTTGCCCAAGCTGGTCTCGAACCCCTGGGCTCAGTCAACCCTCTTGCCTCTACCTCCCAAAGTGCTGGGACTACAGGTATGTGCCACTATGCCTGACTATTTTACTTATTTTTATAAAATTTATTTGTAGGCTGGGTGTGATGGCTCATGCCTGTAGTCCCAGCACTTTAGGAGGATCACTGGAGTCTAGGAGTTTGAGATGAGCCTCGGCAACATAGCAAGACCCCATTGCCACACAAAATAAAAAAATCAGTCGGGTGTGGTGGCACGTACCTGTAGTCCCAGCTACTCAGGACGCAGAGGCAGAAGAATTGTCTGAGCCCAGGAGGTCAAGGCTACAGAAATCTGTGATTGTGCCACCACACTCCAGCCTGGGCAGCAGAGTGAGACCCCAACTCAAAAAAAATCTAATTGTAGAAGACACTAAGAGCCTGTTTCCACCCTTTCCCCTCCAACCCAATCATGCTGAGTCTATTCCTTGTCTTTATTTTCCTCCTTCCCCAACTTCCTCCTCCTTGACACTGTCTCCTTCTAGCTCAGAAGTCAGCCTTCCTCCCAGGGCACATGCCTCTGCCTGAGCCTCGTGCCCCAGCCTCCCTGCTCTTCTTAAACTTGCTCCATCCAACATCACTCCTCTCTTCTTAGCCTCTTTCTTTCCTCCCCTGACTCCTTCCTTCTAGCTCACGTGAATGTGTCTCCATCCAAAACCCAGGAAAAATAATACTTTTCCCAAGCCCTACAACCCTCAATGAATTACAGTCAGCAAAGTACCTTAAAATAGCAAAGTACAGGCCCCTCCAGTGGGGACCTCACTTTCTTCCCTGTCTCCACCAAAGCCTTCTGGTCGACCCTCTTCCTTTGAAATCTGCCATGGTTCTCCCGTCATGCCACCCGGACACTCAGAGTCACATTCCACTCGTCCTTCTCTCCCTCCCTCTCTCACACAGGCATGTCTAAGCCCAGCTGATTCTGATTTTGAAACATCTCTTGGAGCCTTCATCCACACCTTTTCCAGAATGCTCTTAATAAGCATTCTGGTCATATTATTTCCTGCTCAAAAATCATCTATTGTTCTCCACTGCTCATAAAATCAAACCGAGTCTCCTCAGTCTGACATTCTGAGTCCCCAGCCCCTTCAACCGCTGTCCACATCCTCACTGGCCCCCAGCTGTCCTCTGGCTTCCCTGGCGTCCTCCCCCTGCTTTTGCACCCCCTACGAAGGCCTCTTCTGACACCCTCACGGAGAGAAACAGCATCCAACCCTGAAGTCCCAGTTCAAATACCACCTCCTTCATGAAGCCATCTTGGCTCTGCCCAGCAGGGCTTGAGCAATCCCGCCTCTGAACCAAGATGCCAAGTGGACTCTGAGGGCTCCTCCAGTGGTTCACATCTTTCCCCTCTGGCTGGATGATGAGCACTTGGGGACAGCATCTAAGTTACCATCCACCCCCAGAGCCTGGCACAGGACACAGAGCACTGAGTGTTTGGTGAAGATGAAAGCTGAAATTATGACAGGTATAATGGACCACGCCCTAAATTCTGGGCACCCAAATTTTGCCAAAAATAACTGCCATTCCAGGGTCCTCTTGGGGCGGTTCTGGGACACACAGGATGACGACAGTTCCCTCTTTTGTATCCCTCACTCCCCGAACACCCAGACTTGTCACACCAAGTGGAAGGCAGGGGAAAGGAATGAATTAAGACACTGCTTGGGTCAAGTTTCCTCCGTTCATCTCCCCAGGGAGTCCATGCACAAGTGCTGTGGAGAGCCAAACGCCCCAA